CACAAGATCTACATCAACTCTCCAGCAGGGGGTGCATCGCTAACTACAGCATCCATTCTCACCACTGACTACACAAGACACAAATCAACTACGATAACAACTCCCCAGCAGGCTGTGCGTGGTCATCTCCAGCTCCCACTGGCACCACTATGCACACAAGACCCTCATCAACTCTCCAGCAGGCGGTGCGTCGCCATTTCCAGCTCTCACGGGCACAACTGCGCATACCTCGAGGCACATCAACTACGATTACAACTTTCCATCATCCACTTTCACCACTGAGAAAAATACCAAGGCACTAATAAACTACATTAACAATTCCGCTTCAGGTGCGTTACAATCTCCAGCTCACACTGGAACCACTACGTCTACACCAAGGCACACAACTACTTTCCCTATCATCCAGTAGCCAATATGTCGCCGTTTCCATCTTGTACTGGCATTTCTGTCCACACATGGAAACTATTAATATTCGCAAATATTCATCAGTCAATGCGTTGCTGTCTCTATCTTCCCCTGATACCTTTTTGCACACACCAACATACAAATATACTTGTATTACAATCACAAAGAAAACTTCATTTTGCAGAGCATTCTTGCGCGTTTGTAGATAATTATCTGCCCACTGATATCACTACAAATGAAAAAGCACATTCATACACACACACAAACATAATTCACATCATTTGAACATGTACAGCACTCTTGCAGCTGTTTCTTTGCCATCGATATTTGCTATTGGTATCGTTTAACTTCAACATGTTATAATCACGATTTAGCAAGATAATTCACAGCCCGTATTATACGTCCGCGTAGAAAATTTCCGATTCCTTTCAATGAAACAATCTTTGTAAGGTATAAATCAACCGAGAATGTTGGCGACAAGAAAATAAGCAGTTGTAATTATTACTCATTGATAGTTGTCGACGAATTGGAATGAATTATGCGTTGCATTTGTTGTAATTGCCAATGGGCTTACCTGTAAGGACGTAGTTGGACAGGACAACCATGAATATCGAGTGCCTTATTAGCATAAACATGCACCTTGCTGCGAAAGAAGGACGGTATAATCAATAGAAGTTATGTTCTTTACAAGTGTCAATGATCGTACAAGACAGACAACAAAGGCGATCATGAGCGCTGTGAGCAACATGTTCTTTTCTAGAGGTAATGAGCTTTCTTAGCTCCCGACGAAGGTAAGCGTGAGGATCATAAGTAGTGAGTTCTCTGAAAGAATCAATGAGCATATGTGCGGCGTAAATGCGGGCGTGTGAAACAATAATAAGTTACTTCTAAAGGCTAATGAGCGTAGCTTGCTGCCGACGAAGGCGTGTGTGAGTGTCATGTGCAATGGATTCTTTGCAAGAGCCAATGAGCGTACCTGGCCCGCCGACGCAGGCGTGTGTGAGTGTCATGTGCAATGGATTCTTTGCAAGAGCCAATGAGCGTACATGACTGCCGACGAAGGCGTGTGTGAGGGTCATGGGCAATGGATTCTTTGCAAGAGTCAATGAGCGTAGCTGGCTGCCGACGAAGGCGGGCGTAGGATCATGAGCAATGGATTCTTTGCAAGAGCCAATGAGCGTACCTGGCTGCCGACGAAGGCGGGCGTGAGAGTCATGAGCATTGGGTTGTTTGCAAGAGTCAATGAGCGTAACTTGCTGCCGACGAAGGCGTGTGTGAGGGTCATGTGCAATGGGTTGTTTGCAAGAGCCAATGGGCGTACCTGGCTGCCGACGAAGGCGGGCGTGAGAATCATGATGGTGTGTCGGCTGCGCGCCATGCACTCCACGATGTTCTGCACGATGAGGGATCCCAGGGGGAAGTCGCGCTCGTGCAGGCACAGGCGATAGCGTGGGTTGCTGCCCTCCAGCCGCGGAAGCAATTTACCCATCACCCACGGGCGATCGTGCTTGCTGTACAAAAACACGAGGACGCATATTAGTGTGTTAATTGATTGCTCATGAAAATATAAATGAAGTAAAATTTTATGCTCCTGTTCAACTAAGTCGCTATATTTTGCAAGGCATTTCTATTTAGGTGGCATACGTAAGTACGACACATAAAGGCTTGTCTTGTACGAGTATTGGTAAAGCATTCTTCTCACAGACATTGTTTACACATCAATAGAAAATAAGACAATCTTTTAGTAGTTGTTCTTAACCTTATAATAATATAATTGAAAGATTTTAAACTTATTTTCTTCCAATAATAGACACTCTAAAGTTTGTTAATTGTCAGATACGCGACTCACTAGTTGCCAGTAGTCCAATTCTACCCTCTGAACATTTTTGAGACAAACATAATCAAAAAATAAAACAACTACTAATTAGGTATTAGACCGTTCATCAGCAACCACAAAAAAGTAATAATCTCAAATGTATTCCCAGTTTCCCAAATGAGGAATAGAAAAAGGACTCAATGACAGACGTATCATAATACAGTAAAATATCTTTTATAAGAGCTTTCATAAGTGAATCTGGTGTCTCCCATAAAATGAGTCTTAGAAGACAAGTTTATATAAACCCTGAACATATAGAGAAACTACCAACCTCCACCTTAATATACTATGATTACATATCATACAGGATATTCTTAACTACAGCCATTTCATTTTTTATCTGTAAAGACGAGAGTCACAGTACCCACTGAAGTCCCTCAATAATAACGAAACTGGAGAAAACACCCATTCTCTCACCATAAATACAAAAGCTGATACCATATATTTATCACATCAATTATAAAATCAAAAGGAAGCTCTTTTATTCTATAATCTACAGTTTCCAACTCTTCAGAAAACAGCCCACCTTACTGTTTCGTCATTGCAAGAACCACACATTTTAATCAAGACAGAATGGAACACCAAAAGGCTCAACCAACAAAGAAGAACAAATGATGCACTTACAACTCAAGACATTACACAAAACAAAAAAGTAGAGGAACAAAGTGAACAAATCAAAAGCACCATTGATAATAATAGAGAAAAATTTCCATTAAATTACCAACAATTTTTATTGTTCTTAGACAATAGTTTTGGTGTCACGGATGTTTCAATTGTCGCCAAAGACGTCACCCATGACTATAGTATTAATAATAATAACTATTGTAATAAAAGCTAAAGTATTAAAGATGAAAGTCGCATTCATTCACGCGAGTCGCTTCCATTCACGCGAGTCGCTTCCATTCACGCGAGTCGCTTCCACTCACGCGAGTCGCTTTCATTCAGGCGAGTCACTTTCATTCACGCGAGTCACTTTCATTCAGGCGAGTCACTTTCATTCACGCGAGTCGCTTCCATTCACGCGAGTCGCTTCCATTCACGCGAGTCATTTTCATTCACGCGAGT